ATTTCTATCCCTTCATATTCTAGTAATGGACATCGTTCTATACGCAAAATCAATATTTGTATGACCTACATATAATTCTCTCCGATAACACAACATTGCGTCAATAAATTATATAATAGTGGAATTTTATTTTGGACGTAATATAGAAAATTGTACAGTTACAGCAAGTAATATAATTCATGATTTATTTGGCTCTTTCTAATATTTTTCCCTATCCGATATTTTCTCGAAATGCGATACATAAATTTCTGCAGTTTATTGCATTAATGATGCAGGTTTCAAGATAAATCGGTACTCAAAATTGAAACTCACAATATTATTGAAAAATAGGTTCTTTCGAAAATAGCTTCAGAATTAAGCGATTGCGAAAGTCGGAGTTAAATTAATGGGAGCGGAGGAAAACATCAGTTCTGACCCTCGCGTTGAGGCGTATAAAACTCCCGCCGGGAGACATTTCCAGGGGGGCATCAATCATCTTGATAATGTATAAAGAGACGTGGTTGAGCTTAAGGTTTGTTCATAAATACGGCTTACGTACAAAGCCTCTTTGAACAAATCCGCCGTGCTTATCTTGTTCTTCTTACCATATTTTTAGGGTTCCGCACCCAAAGGGTAAAACGAGACCCTATTAGTAAGACTCCGCTGGCTGTCTGTCTGTCTCTCTGCCTGTCTTTCCATCTGTCCGTCTGTCACCAGGCTGTATCTCATGAGGCATGATAGTTACACAGGTGAAATTATCACAGATGATGCCTGTTAAATGTCTTGTATGACTGTTGCCGCTACAACAAGAAATACCTTCTAAAAACAGAATAAAAATAATTTACGTGGGAGCCACTTAAATATTTTTATTCTGTTTCATATATACAACAGAAATGACGAATCTTTTTACGTTTTATAGATAATGGTACGGAACCCTTCGTGCGCCACTTCGACTCGCACCCAGCCGGTTAAATAAAATCCGTCTAAAATATGTCTTCGTACGATGTTTAGTCCGGAGAGTTACAATTTGCTTCAACGGTTGGGCATGTACAAATCTTATTTTCACGACCTTAATTGACCTTCGTAAAAAGCTGCTTTTAAAAAAGCTATACCCCGATCACCAACAAACAAAGAAGGGGTGATATACGTGTCTGTAATAAATCATTTGGTTATTGTTTACTTAAATACTTGCAAAAACGTATGCACTGAAACTTTATCAATGCGTAAAAAAAAGTACAACCAGTGTAACAAATTAGCGACCATTTTGCCGTTGAACAGGAAATATGTACGTTCATACAAATGTACATACGTATAGGAAATCGTTTATTTTACGCCCGATTGGCCATTATGTCCAACTAATGTTTGGCGATGCTTGATAAACGATGTTTTGCTCTCGCTACGCTCTGTAACTAATTCATTAAGCGATTCGATGTTTTGTGTACGTGAATTGGTGGTTTATTATTAGATAAGAGTGATTTAACTTGGTGTGCCTAATTCTACGTACAAAGCTTTTAATACCATCTAGACCAGTTTCTTTTTCGAAAAATTGTCTTTGAATTACTATTTACCTGCCTTACTTGTCATATAAAATCTGATTTTTCTTTTAAAATCAGTCACCTAAATGGCACTCTCTTTACCATCATAGTACCAATTAGATATCGAAGTTTCATCTTCCTTTGTTCACAATAAATATTTATAATTTTCGAAAAGTCGATGGAGGCGAGTTGTTCAGGATCGTGCTTCGTGGCAGTCTATGAGAGAGTGAAATTTCAACAGGTATTCACTTTTTCATAGTATCCCACAGAGCTAACGAGTGTCATATTATGGTTTACTTCCGTACGTTCTGGTACACACTGGTTTACTACAAATGAGTTAGGTAATTAATTTAGAACGTAGCGTAGATCACCACCATCATATTGTAATTGGCAAAACTATTACATTTATTTTTAATTTATTATAGTTGTGTGTAATATTTATTATATTAAATTATCATTGTTATGGGTTGGTGTAGGTTATACGTATAATAAGTATGGAAGCGACACGATGATGCGAAGAGATAGGAAGAAACAGTATACAGTACACGTCACTTACATGATAACATACAAAATAAAATTCAAATTATAACATTATAAATTTAAATAATGCTCTAATGCTTATTATCACCCTCGACTTCTATGTATATAGTGAAATATGTCTTCGGAATTAAATGAAAATGTTGGAAGACCGGATTGAGGAAGACCTCATTCGTGTTGATGTGTCGCCAATAATCTGTTGCGTATATTATAAAAAGTTTTTTTTCCCTGTTTAAAAACTGTACATATTACAGTGTTCCGTAAGTCGCTGCTTTCTCCAATAATGTTCCAAAAGAAAAGAAAAAAACAAATCTATCTTTTTCACGTATCTCGCCAGAAAGAAGGAGAATCCTTTTAGGCGTTGACGCGCGTTTCAGTTAACCAATTACGTTCCTCGGCATAACTGTCCACAATTTCGCTAACGAATATCGACTGACGTGGTTGGTTGTCCGCCCGCAAAACTTGAGCTTAATCAATCATACGTAATCCAATATTTGCTCAGTGCTCGGTCTCGCCTCGTTATTCTGGACAGATTAATGTTATTAGAGCACACTTACTAGAGGTCGATCTCGGTGTGGCGAAGTCGGAATTTCGTAATACACTAGCGAGGATTTTCCCTATTCAGAGGGACAATTATGTTACAGTAATCATAGAACCTGCGTCAGCTGTGATAATAGCAATAGGTTTACCTAGTAAAAAGATTGTTGTCAGAGAAGGTTTTTGTTGTTATGTTACAAAGTAGTAACCGATATAACAATGGATGCGGCAAGCATTGCTTCAAATGCTAAATAACAATGTAGATGAAAGACGTTAAGATTTTCGTCGGTGTGGCAATCAGCCGTTTGGCTTAGTGGCTAAAGCGTCAGGCCGCGAATGCCGAAGACGTGGGTTCGATTCCCACAGCGGCGACAATCTTTTCGTACTTTTTCTATAAGTTTTAATGTTTAATCATAAGTGCAGAGATTAGCACTATAAAAAACTTTAAATGTTACAAAGTGTCAAACGAGCCGGTGGGCCATCTGATGTTAAGTGATAACCGTCGCCCATGGACATTTGCAACACCCGTGGGATTTCAGATGCGTTGTCACCTTTAAATTTGGTTACAAGGCTCGTCTTCGATGCTTAAATCAGTGCTGTTGTGTTTATTTATAATTTTTTGGGCTCTTGTAAATTGCACACCTTTTTTGGTTAAACATTCATCATTTTCATCATAGTTTAAACCAGCTAAGTTATAAATTAATTTTCGCTAAAAAGGCACGAGCAAAGGCTATTATAAAAAACTGAGTAAAACGAACGGTGGTACCTCCGCCCCTTCGCCACATCTCCGACGCGATTACTCTACACCGTACATGGACCGATCTTTCCATGGGGCTTTATACGCGACTAATTTGTGCACATACGCCTATTTGCCTATAATTTAATTTTTGATTTAACAAGAAATTTTTTTTTTTTTATTTTCATAGAATAGGGCAAAATAAACTTATTGCGCTAATAATAGGAAAACGGCGTAAGCGGCAGTCTCGCCCCTTTACGTAGGAGCCATCGATTTAGTACATGATGATCTCGTTTTTTCTGTTTTGTTGTCCGCCAGAGACTGGACATTTAAAATACCTACTTTTCTCATATATTTGCAGACATATTTAATTGTTTACACTAAATTGTAGTATTCTACAAATCATCTCTGCCTTGTGTTATTACTTTCCTTGTAAAGCGATAGTTTTTGTGTCATCATTTTCTGTATTTGGTATAACCTTCATCCTTCCATAAAAATATTGTTTTGGATATTTATTGTATATTTTCCGTACTGTTTAAAGGTCCACGTGGTCCGTAAATCTTATTTTTTATAACGATATCGTACAAATCCGGATCCCTTTGTAGATTAGGAAATTCAGCTTGGATGATTCTGTCAATATTACGCATTTTATCGCACTGCGAAACTGGCAGACTTATCTATTTTTCCGATTACGATGTGTTTGTTATGGTTATATTCTTTCGTTGGGGCGTAGTGGAATGCTTCATTTGGTAGATTGTACTATTCACTTTTCCTCGTCCGCGCTTTTCGTAGGGTGACATTTTCATGGTGAGCTTGTGTTCGCGGCTTTCTATTTAAGATTGTTTAAAATTCTTGCTTTTTCAATCTTGTACTGTTTTATTTTTTCACTGTTCCCTTCATTTTCACAGCTTTACTTCAGAACTGGCAAGATCTTCTCGCTGACGTTTGGAAATTGTATAAAATGTAAATGAAGGCAACGTTTTATTAAGAGATACTTTATTTTCAGTTAAGATTCCTTCAATTTACTCACAATTCAGTGTTTTTACTTATTGCACTTCAGTGACATGAAAATAAAATTAAAACCCAAAAAAAACGGGTAGCTCCACCGATACAAGAAAGCCTTCGAATGGTCCACAATGCTCCAAAACATTCAACAACATTTCAAAATGTTCTCAAATGTTCTGGAATGTTGGGGAAATCTCTAGAATTCTTTCGAGTGGTTATGACTCTTCTAGAAATTTCTAGAGAGTGAAACTTGTAGCCCTTACATTTTCAAAAGCACTATCTTCAGGTTAAAATCGGGAACCTTTTTGTTGGCACACAGATTGCACACTTTTATGACATATATTGATTTACTTCTTTGTTACAGGATTTACAACAAAAATGAGTGTCGATGATAAAGAAGAAACGGAAAATTTCAGCATAAGAATCAGGAGCGTTCTAGCAAATTAAACGGCAAAGAAATAAGTAGGATCATGAATACGTCATTGAAGATACTACACTGGTGATACATGATGTTGATATGCTCCACGATGTTGGTCCATACTTGAACAGGAGAATACCTACACGAGGCTTTAGACAAAAGTTTAGAAATAACTTTAATAACTTTAGTACACTGTTGAGGCTAAAATGCTCTGTAAAGGCGGTTCGGGTACAAGTTGCGTTTTGCGGTAAATATGCGCAGGCGGCCGTTGCCCTCCCTGCGCGAAGAGACCGACCACAAGACGTGGCGCAGCGTCTGCGAGAGTGAGTGGGCGGTGTACACCTTGGTGGCTTCGGTCGGCGCACTCACTTACGCCAACAGCCTGGGCGGAGAGTTCGTCCACGACGACATCCCGGCCATTGTGTCGAACAGTGACGTAACCGGCGGCAGCTCCGCTCTCGGGATCTTAAGGAATGACTTTTGGGGCACTCCGATGTCAGACCCCAACAGCCACAAGTCCTATCGGCCACTGACCACGCTTTCGTTCCGGTAAGTTCTCAACCTATTACTATTACTATAGTAGTAGTAACCATAATTCCTAATTTCTGATATGTGATAGTAGTTACCCTATGGTTTCTACACTTGCTGTTAAAAATGTGATACATTTTCTCTCATACTTTTTTTTTTAATCTTGTAATGTTTTATAAAAAGTTTGTATGCATTTTACTAAATTTAAAGTAAAATATTTCAATTTACTTTTTTTGAAAACCGATGGATATTTTTTTGTATAATAGTCTGAGAATTGATACTTCTTAAAATTGAGATTAACATTTGTTTTGGTGTAGAACAGAAATATTGTACACCAAAATTGTTTAGGAAACCTTATGGAACCTGAATTTTTCAAATAGTGTAATCAATAAATGAGTGACAATATGTGAATTGAAAATACATTATGAAGGCCAAAGATACGATTCACTGTTCGTCTGGTGGAAAGATATCTAAAGCTTTCGAGCTCTAACATAAAAGCTGGTGTGACGATAACATGAGATAGTGATTTTGCAAAACACATCTAGTTACTATGCCATTTTCACGGTCACTTGCAAAATCTTTCGCAGTCGGTACCGACTGATTGTACCACCAGTCAGTCCCGTCTCTTTTTTGGGGAACACATTTGGGGAAATATCAATTGTACAGTTGTTCACTATCCGGCTGGAATTTCCAAATACATTTGTTTGAATTGCCGATAACGAAGTGCTCTACTCGAGAGCTAACTTCCACGCTCTCTATGTATGTCTGTGATTCGTGTTGTATTTTCCGATCAATAAAAAGTCTTATTTATATTTTGCGTTTTTACAGTAAACTCTTGAATAATACAGTTGAGGTATTTCTGTGTCAAAGTTCTATAATATGCAAGGAAATTTCAAATTCAAGTCTGATTGAAGTGGAACGTTTAAAGCTATATCTTATCCTTTAAACGAGCAATTCTTGTATATATATATATACATATATATAATCGGAATCTCGGAAACGATTCCAGCGATTTTCATGAAATTTAGTATGTGCGTAGACTCGGGGGCGAAAAATCGATCTACCTAGGTTTCATTTTTAGGAATGTTATAATAGCTCGGTCGGTAATCGGACGGCCCCAAAACAGTCGGCCGCGGTTCGTATCACGATCATTTACACACTCATTTTTTTTTTACTTTTTTTTCTATACCAGATCATTCATCATCATCATTTCAGCCTGTTTGAGTCCACTGCTGAACATAGGCCTCCCCCATAGACTGCCACGAAGTACGATCCTGAGCCACCAGCATCCATCGACTTCCCGCACATTTGCACAGGTCGTCACTCCATCTAGTGGGGGGTCATCCCACACTGCGATGGCCAGTACGAGGCTGCCACTCGAGAACCTTTCTTCCCCAACGGTTATCGGTTCTACGAGCTATATGGCCGGCCCATCGCCACTTCAGCTTGCTAATCCTCTGAGCTATGTCGGTCACCTTAGTTCTACTGCGGATGTCTTCGTTACGAACTCTATCACGCAGAGAAATACCGAGCATAGCCCGCTCCATAGCTCGCTGAGCGACTTTGAGCTTCCTCATACGGCCAGCAGTGAAGGACCACGTCTCGGTTCCGTAGGTCATCACTGGCAACACACATTGATTGAAGACTTTAGTCTTCAAACATTGAGGTATATTTGACGAGAAGATTTTCCGTAGTTTCCCGAACGCTGCCCATCCGAGTTGGATTCGCCGATTGACCTCTGCGTCGAAGTTGGACTTACCTAGCCGGACTAACTGTCCTAGGTAAATGTACTCGTCAACAACTTCGAGCTCAGTGCTCCCAACAACAACCGGTATTGGCGTGACATGGACATTAGACATGATCTTCGTCTTGTCCATGTTCATCTTAAGGCCCACCCGTTGGGAGACACTGTTGAGGTCATTGAGCATAGTACTAAGGTCCTCCAGCGACTCTGCCATGATGACTATATCGTCGGCAAATCGGAGGTGGGTGATGTATTCGCCATTGATGTTAATACCTCGTCCTTTCCAGTCCAGAAGCTTGAAAACATCTTCCAACGCAGCGGTGAAGAGTTTCGGGGATATGACATCACCCTGTCTTACACCCTTCTGCAGTTGGATAGGTTTTGTACTACTGGACTGTACTTGGACGGACATCGTAGCCTTGTTATACAAACACCTCAGCACCTCGATATACCAACAGTCAATTTGGCACCGCTGAAGAGCCTGGAGTACCGCCCAAATTTCGACAGAATCGAAGGCTTTCTCATAGTCCACATACGCTAGGCACAAAGGCAGATTATACTCTTCGGTCTTCTGTATAATCTGCCGCAAGGTGTTTATGTGGTCTATGGTACTGAAGCCTTTTCGGAATGCGGCTGGTTCGGCAGGCTGGTAGTCGTCGAGTCTGGAAGCGAGACGATTCAAGATGACTCTTGAGAATAGCACATACCAGATCATTGCTTACTTTATTTTTTTATTTCCAAATACATGATTAACAAAAATAAAACCGAGCAAAGCTCGGTCCTCCAGGTACTAATTATTATTTTTTGAAAGAAATGAAGGTAAAATTTGAATTATATATTTTGAATAGAGTACATGGCTGTTAACCAGGAGACTCAGTGTCGAATCCTGAAAGCGTTTAAAATTTTAGGATAATTTGTCTATTAAAATAATATTTAAAATTATAATATTAGTTCAGAAAACAAAATATCATAAATTTTAAAAGCAAAGGCAACATCTGTCGATAAAATATTCGCTGTAAAGTGTGATTTGAAATTATCGCGCAAACTTTCCTGTTACAAAAATCATATATAACGATTTTTGCACCGTAAGGCTTTTGGGCGCTCTGGTGGGGCACCTATTAGCTCATTTGACAAGAGCTTACATAGTAGGGTGCATCAACCAGAAGACGTAGGATCAAATCGAAACGCAAATACACAATGTTATTTATTAAATCTAAGTTACAGACTTCATCGCATTAAATTTTCATCGAGGTAACCCGATGGATTTTCATGGATTCGGTGGTCGAACCGTTAAGTAAGATTAGAATCCAAATGTGATATAAAACGTAAATGTGTTTAATTTAACAATTCTTATTTTGATGTATATAAATAGAGATGGAGTGACGACCTGTGCAAATGTGCGGGAAGTCGATGGATGCAGGTGGCTCAGGATCGTACTTCGTGGCAGTCTGTGGGGGAGGCCTATGTTCAGCAGTGGACTCAAACAGGCTGAAATGATGATGATGATGATATAAATATTTTCAAATAAATAGGTTTATAAATCCATAAATCGATTTATAATTTGCACAGGAATCGACTTGTTTTGTATAATATTGTTACGGTTTCACAATAACACGAATTTGAAATTCAAATTCGTCGCTCGGATAGAGGAATATCAAAATGTTATTAAACAATTACGAAATTCGTTAGTAGCTGCGCATATAATTATCTAATTGTATTAGTGGTTACGGGACTGAACTATAATTCGATACTGTATTGCTTTGGTAACTGAAATTGGTGTTAAGCATCACAGTGGATACAATAAAAGGCTGTTTGATAAATAATAGTATGTTGAATTTAATATGTTGACATTTTCATTTGTGTTTAAATTAGTCATTGAAATCATCCATATAAAAATCATTGTCCCGACCACTAGCATTGGTAGAAAATAGGCGCGTCACCTGTCACTGTAACACAAATCTACTTTTGATGAGTACGATTCAGTGTTTTATGATTTATGTGGGTATTAACAATTGTAGTATTAATGACAAACGAGGATGCATCAACGAAAACTACGTGGAATCCAAAAGCCGGCCAAGTGCGAGTCGGTCTCGCGCACGAAAGCTTCCGTATCTATAAAAACGGAAATAAATCATGTCTGTTGTATGGGAGCCCCACTTAAATATTTTTTATTCTGTATTTTTAGTATTTGTTGTTATAACGGCAGCAGAAATACATCATCTGTGAAAATTTCAACTCTCTTAACATCACGTTTCATGCTACAGGTTGGTAACAAACGAACAGACAGACAGCGGAGTCTTAGGGTACGGAACCCTAAAAAGAGTTTAATAAGCTATAAATAATAATCTTACATACAGGTATTAAACTCAAACGACTAATATTTAAGACAAGAAAATTGACGAGAAAACAAAGATAGAAGAAATTTTATACTAATCATATAAAATAACCTCCATGTATTTTAATAAGACATTCGCGTACAAGTAGTGTTCGTGCAAAAGCCATTTGTTGTGCGCCAATCACTTGTCACTTGTGTCGTGCTAGGTGCCGACTCCGACGTCAATTGTTGAATGATGAATGAATATCTGCCGCTCGTCGTGTCACCTTGATAAACGCCGGAGGCTCAATTTACCACATTTCCTCCTTTTTAGGGTTCCGAAATGGCAGAACGGGACCATATTACTAAGACTCCGCTGTTTGTCTGTCTGTCTCTCCGTGTGTCACCAGGCTCTATCTCATGAACCGTGATAGTTAGACAGTAGAAATTTTCACAGATAATGTATTTTTGTTGCAGCTAAAACAATAAACACTTAAAAAACAGAATAAAAAATATTTACGTGGAGATACAATAGAGATGATTTTGCCGTTTTGATTAATAATGGTACGGAACCCTTCGCGGGCGAGTCCGATTAGCACTCAAAAACTCTTTCCCTCAAAATGCTTGGATTCTTTTAAAATTATCATACGCTAATAAGTAAGAATGGAAATAGATATTTAATAAGACATACCTCACTCATTATTTTTACGATACGTTTCTCTATCTACAGTTATAAAAATAATTGATAATTGCTTTTTTATCTGTGTCTTCTACTAATAACTTTCTGTATCATTATAGACCGATAGTTATTCGGTTAAGGTTTATATTAGAAATGTCACTTTATATTAGATTTTGAGCAATCTGCGCTTTACAAATGGCACGGGAAACACCTGATTCCGTGACGCGGAGTTATTACCCCGCTGCGATATCCGCCTTCATTTGTTTGAATTGCGACTCGCCGAC